GCTGGTTTTGTGAGCTGCTTGTGAAAGACTTGCGCTCTGGCTGAGTTTTTAGCTCTGAAATGAAGCAGGCCTAATCCCAGCTACTGAGGTATTTCCAGATGGCTTTATCTGAGAAAAGACTACTGAATATAAGGATCACAATTAAAAAAAAATTGTTTTCCCCAAACAAATGTATTAGGAAATTGTAATCCCAGAGACAGATCCATGGGATTGTTGCTATACATTGCTCGCCAGCCATAGCTTACTCTGCAAGTAAAGACAGAAAAAAGGGAGAAGATTCCCCATTGAACAGAGGACACCGTGAGTTGACATCTAAACTGAGTTTCCTAAAGACCTCTGTGAATGTCAAACTGCAGATTTCAAATGAAATTGGGGAATTTGAAAGCAGAATGAGCGTAGTGAGCCGGATATGCAATAGCTACAGAGGGAAAGAATTACTTTTAAAAGGAAGCAAAAGCCTTACAGAAGAGGCAGAAATTATTAAGAACTACAGAGGCAAACGGCATGTAGGCATTGCTAGCTGGTGTGAGAGAAGAGAGTCCTCTAGGCACATCACTTCTTAAAGGAAGCAGAAAAAATAAAGGAACATAATTCAACAAAGCAATCTCAGGAAATATGCCAGAGCCTCGTTGACAGTAGAAGTAAACTAGACCTCATAAAAGCAGACAATGCTGTAAAGATCATCAGATTTGCAAAACAACACTATTATGAAAAAGACAAAAGCAGTAGACTATTCCTAACATTTAAAAAATAAACAACACGTAAAATAGTCTCTTCAGTCTCCAGAGGAGCTAGCCAAAGGATATCCACAAGACAATTTACCATGTATCTTGCAGGATGTTAATACTGCTTGGAGACAGTGATTCCAAAATAAAAGTATTTCATTTAAGCCACCTAAACCATACAGACAGATCAGAAGTTCTGGACGAAAGGCAGTAAATGTTAGTTTAATTATAGAGAATATTAAAATAGGTACATTTGAAATCCCTAGGCCCCTAATAGCTCTCCTGCAAAAATTTAAAAAAATATATATATTAAAGAATCTGGAGCGAACAGATGGAACCACGGTTGAGTCAACTCATTAATGAGACACGGAAAGAAGAAAAGGCCCTGGCATCTAGAGGTAGCAATACTGAAATATGGAGAACACCTACTCAGTTTCATGACATGTAACACATCTGTTTATTAAATCAAACTCTTTGTTCTTAGTAAACAAACCAAATAATCCTGCCTACTTACCCCAGCAGAGCCCCAGCCAAGTCACTTTAACAAGAAACAGGGAGAGATCAGCATTCATGACTCGTTTTTCAAGCCGAATATGCAAAACAACCCACCTCACAACTAACATTAGAAGATGAAAAACTGATAACGTGATCTGGCAGTTCTCAAAAGGGATCTTAAAAAACTTTTGGCTTAGTCCCAGGTTTAGGAATTAAATATTTATCCAGAGTCAAGTCCAAATGCTGCAGTAAAAGTTAACAGGGCCTATAAACAAGTTTCTCATTTTCATACCAGACACAAACTAAAGCTTTCTCCATCATCCATCCTCTCCACTATGGTTGTACCATATTTATACAGGCAGCCTGGGGAAATCAATAAATCCTAGGTGGAATGGACAGAGAAGATGGGGAGAACATATGAGTTTTAAAAGTAGACGATAAAGTAGTACTTTTGTCACCTCAATTGCAAGTGGAAGATGCTGACTAGTAAATACAGTTTTCAGATGAAGTCTAATGTCTACAGATGATCACTGGTTTTAATCTTCTAACATCTGTAAAATCTCACAACGTATGCATTCAAGGTAATAGGTAAGTCAATGCAGAGCAAATCTACTAGGCGTTACTATGTGTATAGAAAGTGCATCTAATTCAGGCACACCACAGGCTGAAATGCAGGAAGCCTGGAATGCTATCCTTTCTCTGGCTTTACAACACTAAAGGAAGCGGAGGACTGCTGTATGGAAGTGCATAGGAAAGGTATTTTTCTAAAGAAAATTGAAAAACAGATGAAAGCATAAAATTCTCTCATCACTCAAAACTGAACCCAAAGAATTGTCTTGACCCTGAATCGGTTTTATTTTCTAAGCACTACTAGTTGTCCCCCTGGGGAATTTCTTGGAAGACCATCAATATAAAAGAAATTTATTAGGGGGAAAATGAGAATTTGAGGTTAAGAAGGCCACTCTGCAAAATGGAGAGAGGTGATGCTAAAGCTAAAATGGTAAAATGATAAATCAAAATAAACGATAAATCAAAACAGAAAGGTGCTTATACTGGCCATTTTAAACACAGTAAGCACCGAAAAGAGTGCAACAGCACCCTTTCCTAAAAACTGAGTGGACATGTCTCTAGATCTTTCAGGGAGTAAAGAACCTCTAAGCCAAACTGGTATCTGATCGGTTTCTCTAAGAAAGCAATAGAGAGGTGAGGTAATGTTTACACTTTTTTCTAAACCTTGCCTCTTAGTGCTCATTTCTGTATTTGGTAGCACAGAAATAAACTCTGATAGATCTGCAAGTCTGAAGATGTGGCGGTGTAGTGCTGATATGGTATCACCTGAATTATTGAGAAGAAAAGTGTTGAAATATTTTGCAAGGTTTCCTCAGTTTGCAACAAAAGAACAAGTGAATGTTTTGTAGTATTAAGAAATGCCTCTTTTTCTTTTTTTTTTTTTCTTCCAAATCGATGCACAAAACTGATAAACTTTTGGAAAATATTCCTTTTTTTGGTGCATACTCTTTCTTGTTTCTATGTCCTTTAAGGAATTAATCCTAGGTCCCCTTAGTTTTGAGCTACCCATGGGAGTCTCTGGGCACACCAGAACTGCTCTTGGCAGGAGACAACCATATCCTGGTAACCCTTCTTGGATTTATTACTTAAGAGTAGAAACTTGTCTTTAGGCATTGCATACGATTGTTTCTGAATTTTTGGCATTGGTTTGAATTATACACTTCTATGTGTCTAGACTTTTTTTATTTTATTGTTTCAGCTTATGACATGTGTGATTTGTTTGTATAATTATCTGGAACGTATGTAGACTTGCTACAGGAGGAGACACATAGCTCTGATCCAGCCGGCGTGTGGTTGAGTGAATCAGCCATCTAAATTACACCTACAGAGTAGATAGGTCACTGCCAATTGCTGCCAGGGAGAAAGCCAAAGAGCACTTGTGAGAAAATACGTAGAGACAGTCCTTGAGAGAAGAAAAGGACTAAAGCTTTCTCAGGTGTTTTATTTTGAAGAAATGCAGTGCCTCCCTGTCTTCTTCCCCCTTCTCTCTCTTGAAAGAAAAAATACCCAGAAGTTAGCACTTTACTTCTCCCACTGCAATCTGACACAAAAGACCTTTGCAAATAAATCACTCGTGCAGTTGTCTGGTATGACACAGTGTCAGATGCTGTCTTTTTGATAAGTTCATTTCCTAAGCAAGTTGTTTAACCCTTTTTATAGACATTGTTTTCTCTGACTAAGTCATGAGTCATTTTCAATACATGAGTACTCCAGGGAAATGTCACATTCGACTCTTGTTTCTTTGCCTGCCTGGCTTTGCCATATGATTTTTATAAGTCAGAAGACAGAGTCCCTGCTTTGGTATGTCCCATTCTGCTGATAATTGGTTGTTGTTGGCTCCCATTGGGCTACTCTATAGGCTGATCTTATAGTTGTTATCAGGCCAATTAAGTATTTGGGAAAGAACCCCCCAAGAGTATCGAGCAAAATGAAGAAGCTTTTAGGAGCCCATTAGGAAGTGTATCACTCAGATTTGTGTCCTGCTGTGACTGTAATTTCTTGCATCTACCACAGAAGTCAGTTCCAAATTGCCCTAAAGTAGCCACCACCAATAAAATGAGGTTGCTTAGGAAAAATCAAAGTGATCATTTTTCATCCCAAGGACTTGCTTTAGGACACAAAAGCTGTCATTCACCTCAGCAGAACAGATGGGCTGAGGACTTGTAAAGGGTCTTGTTTGGTTTTTTTGTTGTTTTTTTTTTTCTTGGGAAAAAAACCTGTTTGCCGTTTTACAAAAACCTCTCCCTAGCAGTTTATATTGTAAGCATCCTCATAAATTCAAAAAAGTGTATCCAAACTGCTTTGGATTTTGTGTGTCATCTGTGCCTGAGGGCAGCCAGGGACAAGTGTTTGCACCCAGGTGTGGTAACAGAAGGCAAGAGCAAAGACTGTGGCAATCTCAAAAGAAAGCTCCCCTCGGGATCTGACTTCTGAAGAAGCAAATGTAATTATTAAGAATCTCGGGCATGCGTGCTGTCACAAGAAAGGAGTGTCCCAAAGACTGATCCAAGATACTGCAGTTGGTAGCTATAAAACCCTTATCTAATTCAATGTAAGCGCAAGGCTATTGTCTCCCTGCCCCATTCCCTTCATCTTCCCTTTTCTCTCCCTCTCTTTTTTGTTTAAAACTCTAGAGGCTTGAACTGTGAGCTTCAGTGGTCTGATGATGTTTTTAAAAGGAAAATAAATTAAGAAATTTTCCGAGTAAAGTAGTACTGCCTTGTAGTACTATTTGTCTTGTGGCACATAGGTCCTTGAAATCCAGGTACCCAGTTTGTGATCTTAACCTTTCCTGAATGACTGCTGGGCCACAGCAGCACGAGGCGTACGTGCCTGGGGAGTTTATCTAGGGGACCCCGTGCAGATCCCTTGGATTGCCTTTGAATGTTGCGTTCTTTTCTCTAATGAGTTACTGCTGTTGTAAGCATGCTGTACTTCAAAGGGCATTAATCATTCTCTTAAGGCTTATGTGATGAGAGATGTGGATGCTGGAATTGCTACCATGGAGAGACAATTGGATCCTGGCCACTCCTTGTCACGGTAACTTTGGAGCTCATAGCCATAAAGGACTGAAGCCAAAACCCTTTTGTCAACATTTGGATTGGTACTGAAGGAGAATGAGTGTGTTATGAAACTCCTTGCTTATCATGAGAATATTACATCCTAATTATGTGATCTAAACTTTTGAAACCTTCTTTGTTCTGCCTGTAGGGCCATACTGTGGTAATGTGATGCCCGTCCCCAAAGAAATCATTCTGGATAGCAATGAAGCAACTATCCATTTTGAGAGTGGATCCCACGTGTCAGGACGAGGCTTTCTGTTGTCCTATGCCAGCAGTGATCATCCAGGTAAAGTGAAATCCAAAAGTACTAAAGGATTAGTGGCACAGTCCCCCCTATTTCATTATCTTCTCTACACACAGAGACTTTAGCCAAAATGTTTGGTCCTAAATATTGCCAGATTAGCATGAACCATGATATTTTTAATAACATATGTGCAAGAAACAGTTGTCACATTAACCAGCTACAATAGCTGCTGAAATCTTACCTAGACAATTTGCAATACAGGCCCAGTGAAAGAGAAAATTAGTACCTTCTCCTTGAAGCTCCACTGTATTCTACTACACAAGGATAGGATGAAGGGATAGGGAAGATGAAGGTTTGACTCCTACATTTAATATTCTGGCAGTATGCGCAACTTTGTTGAAGGTGTAAAACATAAGAAGAGCAGAAGAAGGAGATGAAAAGAATGAGGGAAAACCATAGCTGTTGCTTTCTAGCTAATAAAATCGTTTAAGTGTTATGCAGCGAGGTCTTTAAATGTAATTTCAAGTTTAGCCAAATATCTGTCTGTATTTCTACATCTTGCAATGGGGACTGACGTTTGTGAACTGTTCACAGATCTAATCACGTGTTTGGAACGAGCAAACCACTACACAAAGGCTGAATACAGGTAAAGAGGGTTTGCAGCTCTCTGCGCTCTGGCTTGCTTTGCAGTATCGGTCATCCGGTCCAATTGTTAGAAAATACCATATAAAGCAGGTACAGTCTTGGTTTTCTGGAGAAGTGATTTGGTTTTGGGTTTGTTTTTTTTTTTTGAGCTCTGATGCTGTAATAGTCCAAGGCCTGGTAGTGAGAAGCAGTGGTGCAGCATGGAATCTGGGACTGAGAAAAACGAGGGAATGGAGTTACAGAGCTCCTAGCAGTTCTCATTAGGGCATACATATACATGGTATATGTAAAAAGTTTCCACTTTGAAATTCAAAGTAGCCTCACATTCCAGTGCTGCTTCTGAGAGCAGATCGCATCCTAGCTGCTACAAGATTATCTGAGGACAAGCTATCATTTCTTGGTTCCTTGAACTTTGTGATAGGATTTGAAATGGTAATAAATTGTGCTCTTATGGCTGCTGTCTGGATGTTGCATGTAGGCTTCTTATCTGAGCTGTGCTGAAAACTCCTGTGGTAGCATTTCTAGAACAAGAGAATTAAACATAACTGTCCTTGCAAAACTGCTTTTCTGGCTCTTTGTGTGCTGCTGTGTACAGTCCACTCACAATCTCAAGGGCCAATTTATTTACCTCCTAGACTCACCAACCAGAACTTACTGTTAAAATACTTATTGGTTTGAGGGCATTTCTTTTGTACGGGTTTGTTTCTGTCTATCGTCACTACAGTTCATATTTTAAACAAGCCTCTCTTCTCTCACTACAGCAGATACTGTCCTGCTGGCTGCAGAGACATAGCAGGTGACATTTCTGGGGATATCGGAGAAGGATACAGAGATGTAAGTTCACAGTATAATGAGGGGAAATAGCATAGCACAACTTGGTTTCAACTTTTGCTGCTTGACTTCTGTCAGTAATTCTATCCAGTTGTGTGAGATTTACCTTTTATTATCAGTATATGAATATGTTATCGGTGTGCAAGCACACAGAGGCACTTTTCAAACAGGCCAATCAATTGTGTGAGAATAAAGTCCACTGATTGTCAAATACGCCTACTGACTTGTGGCTTCTGGCTTTCTGGAAGAACCACGCATGGTGTTTGTCCCTCGTGAGGCAGTGCTCATCAATGTACTAAATATTCCTATGACTTCAGCTTCTACTTGTTTGGAGTCCATGTGCATTTCGTTTCTAAAGTTCTCTCTTGTAGGAAAAACAATACATTTTGGTAACACGCGGGCTTTGTATAATACTATGCCTGCAGTATCCCAGCAATGTGCTCTGAGATGAAATAAATACTGTACACTGCCTAATCACATCCCACCCATAACTACAAACCTCTGGGGCTGTTGTAACTGCTCATTCTTTAAACCAGAGAAGTTGCCTGAGTGGTTGCATTTATCCACAGTTCACACAGTGCTCTGCCCCTCACTCTGGACTCTCCTCCTGTCATGCCTGTGAAATCTTTAGGTCTCTCACGGTGGAGTAAGTTTAATCATACCACTGAATCATCCCACCCTATCACAAGTATAGCAGTTGCTGAGTTTCCAAAAAGTCAGTGGTCACGTTTAACCTGTTCATCCAGTTATTCAAGCATGCCACTCCAGCCTGGAAAGTGGCAGAGCTGAGCTGGAGTTATTCCTGCCCTTCACCAGGGCGATTAGGAAAGAAAAGCAGCTGCATGTCATGACCTCATGCAGATCTTATCTACGCTGAGGAATTTCTGAAAGAAATTTTCCCTCCACCTTCAAGGGCGGATTCAACTTTTCTGATGGAAAGAACCTGCGGGGCTCCCCTGGAGACCTGCTGCCTTTGTGTCCCCAGCCCTCCCTGCAGGGGACACCCCAGCACCCCTGCAGCGTCGCCCAAGCCGGGCTGGTGTGCCCGAGACCAAAGTCTGCCCGCAGCCCCTGGGAATGTCTCCTTTGCACCTTCCACTGGCCCTTCTCTGCTCTGCCCTAGCCCCTTAGGTACGTCGTTGCCACCTATTTGGCACCCTGTATTTTTCAGTGTTACCCCAGCTGAGATACTGGCAAATGAGCTGTACTGAAAAGCCAGCAGCAGCCAGTCCGCACATAGCCAACTCTCCTCCTGTATGCCATGAATCCTAAAGCACTGTAACAGATAGGTCTGCCTTCAGGCAAGTCCATCGAGTAATTATCCTTTTCTCTTTGCAAAGAGTTGACTTGCCTTTGACTTAGTTTTCCCAAGGAGTGACACAATACTTATTAGGTTAAAATCTTACGGCACCTTCTCCGAAGCAAATTATTTCCTTCTTCAACTGAAAGGTTAAAAAAAAAAGATGACTTTTGGAAACGTATTTTTTTTTTCAAAGATTACTGCTCTTTCTACCTCCCCTGCCTCTTATTCCTCTTGAGCCTTTGCTGGATTTTATGAGCTGTAGCACCTGTGTACGAGTGGCTTGGAAGTGAAAGCGTTAGCGGTTTGTCAGACTGACCCCCCCAGCTCCGGCTTCTGCCTTTCAGACCTCGCTGCTGTGCAAGTCGGCGATACACGCGGGCGTCATCGCGGACGAGCTGGGCGGTCAGATCAGCGTCACCCAGCAGAAGGGCATCAGCCGCTACGAAGGCGTCGTCGCCAACGGCGTCCCCTCGCACGAGTGAGTTCCCCTCGCACGAGTGAGTGAGTACCCCCTGCACGAGTGAGTGAGTACCCCTCGCACGAGTGAGTTCCCCTCGCACGAGTGAGTGAGTACCCCCTGCACGAGTGAGTGAGTACCCCTCGCACGAGTGAGTACCCCTCGCACGAGTGAGTACCCCTTGCATGAGTACCCCTCGCACAAGTGAGTGAGTACCCCTCGCACAAGTGAGTTCCCCTCACACGAGTGAGTGAATACCCCCTGCACGAGTGAGTACCCCTCGCACGAGTGAGTACCCCTCGCACGAGTGAGTGAGTACCCCTCGCACAAGTGAGTGAGTACCCCTCGCACAAGTGAGTGAGTACCCCTCGCACGAGTGAGTTCCCCTTGCACGAGTGAGTACCCCTCGCACAAGTGAGTTCCCCTCGCACGAGTGAGTGAATACCCCCTGCATGAGTGAGTACCCCTCGCACGAGTGAGTACCCCTCGCACGAGTGAGTGAATACCCCCTGCATGAGTGAGTACCCCTCGCACGAGTGAGTACCCCTCGCACGAGTGAGTGAGTACCCCTCGCACGAGTGAGTACCCCTCGCACAAGTGAGTGAGTACCCCTCGCACAAGTGAGTGAGTACCCCTCGCACGAGTGAGTTCCCCTTGCACGAGTGAGTACCCCTCGCACCAGTGAGTGTGAGTACCCCTCACACAAGTGAGTGAGTACCCCTCGCACGAATGAGTGAGTACCCCTCACATGAGTGAGTACCCCTTGCACGAGTGAGTGAGTACCCCTCGCACGAGTGAGTACCCCTTGCATGAGTACCCCTCGCACAAGTGAGTACCCCTCGCACAAGTGAGTGAGTACACCTCGCACCAGTGAGTACCCCTCGCACGAGTGAGTGAGTACCCCTCGCACGAGTAAGTACCCCTCGCACGAGTGAGTTCCCCTTGCATGAGTGAGTTCCCCTTGCACGAGTGAGTACCCCTCGCACCAGTGAGTGTGAGTACCCCTCGCACAAGTGAGTGAGTACCCCTCGCACGAATGAGTGAGTACCCCTCACATGAGTGAGTACCCCTGGCATGAGTGAGTGAGTACCCCTCGCACGAGTGAGTACCCCTTGCATGAGTACCCCTCGCACAAGTGAGTGAGTACCCCTCGCACAAGTGAGTGAGTACACCTCGCACCAGTGAGTACCCCTCGCACAAGTGAGTGAGTACCCCTCGCACGAGTAAGTACCCCTCACACGAGTGAGTTCCCCTTGCATGAGTGAGTACCCCTCGCACGAGTGAGTGTGAGTACCCCTCGCACAAGTGAGTGAGTACCCCTCGCACGAATGAGTGAGTACCCCTCACATGAGTGAGTACCCCTTGCACGAGTGAGTGAGTACCCCTCACATGAGTGAGTACCCCTCACACGAGTGAGTGAGTACCCCTCGCACGAGTGAGCGAGTACCCCTCACACGAGTGAGTGAGTACCCCTTGCACGAGTGAGTGAGTACCCCTTGCACGAGTGAGTACCCCTCACATGAGTGAGCACCCCTCGCACAAGTGAGAACCCCTCGCACGAGTGAGTGAGTACCCCTTGCACGAGTGAGTACCCCTCACATGAGTGAGCACCCCTCGCACAAGTGAGAACCCCTCGCACGAATGAGTGAGTACCCCTCGCACAAGTGAGTGAGTACCCCTCGCACAAGTGAGTGAGTACCCCTCACACGAGTGAGTACTGCTGGCGCCCTGGCCTGGCTGGCTCCAGGAGCAGCCCCCGGGCAGAGGGCACTGCCCACCTCAGCAGAGGCAGGTGGGGAGGCTTTTTGGGGGGAGAAAAAGGTGTTAGGTGTGGGTCTAGGGGCTTTTGGGCTTGGTTTCTACGGCTTTATTCAAATGGTGTTGGCATTGCATATAGAAAATGATCCAAGATTTCAGAGGCTCTGTACCATGTAGGGCAGTATTTTCTGCTTTTTTTTTTTTTTTTCGGCTTCTCCTATTCCTTCCAAAACATATTTGCAAATTACTTTCGTAGCAGATGCATGAAAGTACAATGTTCTGCAACAAACACCTTTAATAGACGTGCTAATAAATCATGATAAATTCATGATTAAAAAAAGCTAGGAAGAATGAATAAGTAAAAAGTACCGTTGAGCCATAGGGGATTTAATGAACAACTTCTTAAACATTGTGCTTGTGACATGTTCAGAGTTCTTCCCTTTTAGAATATTTATAGCAAGGGTGTTATATTTACCACTTATCTTCTGACTTTTAATTGCATTGTTGTTGAAGTAGAAATAAATCCTCTAATCTCTATCCAGCACAGTAAGCCCTTCCAGCAACTGCCTCTGTCATTCCTGTTGGTTTATATTTTTTAATTTTCAAATGTTATCTGGATTGTACATAAGGGTTTGTTTGTTGTTTTTTTTTTTTTGTTTTGTTTTTTTTTCTGTAGGAAGGGAAATCTCCTCAGTCCCATAGCCTACAAGAAGTAAGGGAATATGTCTTTTTTATACTTTTTTCCTTTTTTCACCATGATTTCTCCACACCCTCTTGACAATTTTATAGCCATGGTTTCATTAATGAAAAAAAAAAGAAAACCAAACCAAAACCAAGCACTCATTCGATCTGTTGCTGTGCTTAAACCTCAGCACAGATTGAAATGCTTTATATGTAGTGGCACTGGAGCATACAAAGCTGGGTAGCATGTAGACCACTAGCCAAAATTTTGTAAAGCCTAAATATTTTATTTTTTTCTAGAAAACTAATTGCCAAAATTGAAAAAGAAATTGCCAAAGACAATTAATATAAACTTGTCTCAAGCAAAGCAGGACTGTGAGCTCAGCTCAGGCAGCAAGCCCCTCCATAAAACAAATAATACAAATTCCATCCATCACACATGCCAGCTTAGTGAAACCCTAAATTAAAGATTTTGTGCCTTATCTAAAGATGTTACAGAACCGTTTACATATATTCATATGTTTGTGATCCTTGAGAATCCCAGAAGGAGTAACTCAGACAGTAGCACAGAAAACAGTCTAATGAAAGGCAGCTGGGATTCCCATTTGTGGTTTTTTTTTTTCACAGTACAAGAGCTAGTGGGCAACGAACGAAGTGTGTAAGTCAGCAAATGTACACGTGCTGGGGGAAACCCGCTGTTTGTGTGATTAACCCATCACCTTAACTGCCAAGCGTCCTTTTAATGTTGCTATTCACAAAATACCCTGTATATTTCACGTGGGTGATGGAAGTACCCGCAGAGATGCAAACTTGTCTCTACTACATCAAGCGGGAAGACTACCCCTTACTGGAAGGAGAGCTGAACCCTGCACCCAGGCTCGGCTTCAGCCCATTTAATGTGGGGCCCCGGAGAGAGCACCCTAAGGAGGGGTGCAGCCCCTCCTCGAGCATCTTGAAGGGACTGAATTGCCCCGAGCAGGCAACCTTTGCTTTCTACAGATTATACAGGGAGCCGCAGGTAAACAGACTCATACAGGGTTGGATGCCTGCAAACTAGATGGCAGAGATTTTGAGAAAAAAGGGGGAGCGTGAGCACGGCGCTTTCCCGGCTGCTTCTGCTGCTCCTGGAAGCTGTGACAGTCCTGGACACTGCTGGTGTGAGCCCATTATCCCAGGAGAGGGAAATTGGAGGATGCAGGGAAATCCTTTTATTTCAAAACATGAAAAAGCGTTCTTAGAAACAGTGGGCCTGTTTGCTAGGAAAATAAACCAATGCATTTCATGCTTTAAAAAGCCTTTTATAAGAGGTATTTCCAAAGCTGCATGGCTTCCCTGTCCTCAGGGTACCTACACACTGCAAGAAATTCCTGTGGAGCAGCCAGCGCTGGTGAGAAAAAATTGGTGTTTGAACAGCAGTGCTTTAAGAGCTTTTTAGATGCCCTTAAGTAAAAGCTTACTCAAGTTTTTAAAATCTCATTTATAGTGGATTTCAGTTTTAAAGATTTAAATTATTTAGCGACTTGAGCCGAAATTGACCTCATCAAAAGCTGCTGCTGGAGTGTATCGAGCTGTTAAATATCTGCGTTTTAATGTGATGGTGGAATTACGGCTCGCTCGCTCACCAGCCCAGAAGAGCTGACCTTGGCCCCCCCAACTCCATTTTTCGGTGTACTTGTTACGCTTCAGCATCTGTGAGGTTTTCAGTGCTCACGATCCATGCGTGAACCTGCACCCGCAAATGCTGTAACGAAGATCAAGTGGCTGGATTTATTGGGCAGTTCTGATACCCCAGTACAAATACGTGGGGGTTTAACTTCGTAATGTGACCTGGCCTGTGACTGCACGTCTGCGCATGTGAAATCATTTATCTTTGAAAATGCAGGAGACTGCACGCTTGTGAATTGTGAAAGATGAGATTCGGGGTTAACCTGCACTGCTTACCAAAAGCTGGCTTGAGACAGACTCTGAAAAAAAAAAAAAACAACAAACAACATATTTGATGTTAGCAGAAATTTATTATGGGAAGCAACATCCTTTTTTTGCAGAGCTGCCAGCACAGGTCTCCCATGCAGTCCCACCACTGGTGCTGTTGGCTAGGCAGGATCCTGAAGGTTGTTAGATGAGCACGGGGCGATACCATCCCTTAAAGGACAAAGTGAAATTTGTGTGACAAATGCCACCTGCCACATTAGGAAACTGATGAATTACCACTTACTGAATTAGTTTGTCCTCTTCAGTGACTTGCAGAATTATAGCAGAAATATTTCAGCTTGATTTCGTAGATTTACAGACCTTAGAAATGCTAACCTCCTTCCTTTCTTTGCTTAAATTGAAGCCCTTTATTTGAAAGGGATCCTGGTGACTTTTTCTTGACAAAGCATTATCTCATAAATAAGTATTTGAGGAGTGCTGTGATTTCTGTTTTGGGTAGGTTTTACTGATCACCATGGGGTTTTATTTTCTTCTTTTCTCTTGAAATGGGCTGCTTTGTATTCACTAAGAAAGCAAAAATTGTTTTGGCTGTAATGTTGAACTGGTTTGAAGCGAGCAGAGCACATCTGATCGCCCCTGAGGATTGCCTGGGGGGAAGATGTGGGAGGGAGGGCGGGCTTGAGTTTCCCCTCCTAGCTACTCTACCGCCTACATGCCCAAATAAATCAGCTCCCTCCCAGTGCTCTCCGTCATCTCCGAAGGGCTTCATTTGCCTGTAGTCATTAGTTTTCCCTCAGTGACAAAAAGAAGAAGTGTTTTTATTGACCTTGACACGGGACCACTTTCCTATTCCCCGTTTGCAGTGCTCTCAAAACACGCAGCCGTGCGCGCTGCTCTTAGCCCACAGACGGTACCTCGGGGGAAATTTTCCTGGCCAGCAGCAAAGGGCAGCCTGAAAGGGAGCTGTCGTGATGTTTAAGTGCAGAAGTTGTTTTACTGCTCAGTCACGCTGGCCAAAGCTTTTTTCCAAAGGGGCGAGTGATGCGTGCAGCTAATCGAAGCGACGTTGCAGGGGTCAGATTTTCAAGAAATCCAAACTAATTTCACGTTAAAGCCCGGGCTTTTCTTTTTATTAGGCAGCCAGTCAGAGTCATCACTTCTGGAATGAAACCTCAGGGGCATCTCGCTGGGAATCAGAAAGTGGCTCCATGGGAGGCCAAAGAAAGCTCAGCTTTCCCTTGCAGTGGTGATTTTATCTTGTCTTGCATTGTGCAGGGTTTTATGGAGTGGCCCAAGAAATGGCTTTTCTCCTGAAGCAAAGCAGTCCACGTCAGGAGGAAGAAAAGAGGAGCTGTAGGTGTGGTGCTGATAATGGAGCAAAAAGAACCATTCCTGATGGGGGCTGCTGGTCGTGGTTATAACAGAACTGGTTCCCACCCAGATTAAAACACGGAGCAGTTTTAATTCAGTCTGGCCATGGTACACCTGTAGTCCAAGCAGGAATGGCCAGAGCTGGCGTGGTTTAGCCACTATCAAGTGTAACGCTTTCACTTTGCTTAAGGACGGATTTTCTTCAAACTAGATGCGGACTTAAAAAATCGGAAGTCCTTGGTTTCAGTGAAGTTGCTCTAATTTAAGCTACTGTAGGTGAGAAGAGAGCCGGGCCCTGTCCTGGAGCTGTGCACCGCCGGTAGCTCCAGGTCCTGCCAGATTTCCCGATCCCGGCTCTTCTGAATGCTCGTATGCTGCTGGTCTGAGGGGCAGAGGGGGAAAGCTTTCCCACAGCAGCGCAGGACCTGTGCGGAGGCAAAAAGCTGAAGCATGCAGCAAGGTTAACGGGCTGATGGGATGGGGAGTCACTTTAAAGCATAACAAATGCTCAAAACCATTAAAAAAAACCTGAGCTGAATTCACTCACGGTGAGAGATGCGCGAGAGTGCTCTTACTGGGGTCAGTAACCAGCCGGCAAAGTAAGCAGCTATCTGGCCAGAGATATTTTGCAAGATAAACTGTGGTTCTGAAACTGTACCTCGTCATTCCCGTGACCACCTCCTGAAAGGCTGAATTACCTTTTTCTTTTCTTACAGTGGTTCGCTGTCAGATAAGCGGTTTATATTTACTTCAAATGGTAAGAATAATGGCTTTATTTTTAGCTATTCAAATTTTACCTTTTTTTTTAAGTATTTTCTGTAAAAGTTTTGAAAAGCAATCTGCAGAACGTCAGGTTGTGTCTAGGAAGGAAGTTTTAGGACAGCAATTTTTTTAAATTGGCAAGTGAATAAAAAAGTTGAAGGGATGTGAAGTGAGCTAGGAAAAAAACCACAGAATGGGAATAGGTCATACACACATAGACAAGAAAAAGAAATAGTATTCTGCTGTTACGTTTCTGGTGCCAGCATATGAAAAATGGCAATCAGATAATCCCATTTTTATGTACTTTAGGAGGTAGAAAATGAAAGCAGTTTTTCTTCAGACATTTATAAATTCCATCTTTGTTATACGAGAAGAGAATGAAAACATAGGAGGAATGAAAAGATATTTACATTGCACTGATACAGAACAAGATTTTGTTTATGACTTTCCAAGATGCAAAACCGCCTTTAATCTGTCAAACTGTTCATTTGCATAAAACATAGCAAAGAGGGGGGAAAAGTTCGTGCTCGTTCATTTGAATTGTATTTCAGTCATCTGAGATAAAATCATTTACTATTCCACTGAAAACTGTAGAGCATGTATAGGCCTTTGAAACTGCCAGGGAATTATTTTTAACTTCATTGAAACCTTATTCCACTGGCCTGTTTTCTCTGAAGAACCTTGATGTGCAGAAATTTTGCGGGTTCTTTGGTGGAGTTTGTAATACTTACCTGCAGCTATTATCTTCAGTGATATCACCTCTTGGCAGCAGTATCAAGGAGCTTCTCTAATGAGTAACTTTCCTAGCCCTAATTGCAGGTGAAAATCATGAAATATTTACAGTAAAGTGTTCCTTTCAGTACAGTGCCTTCAACTGAGAAATGTTTTGTACAGCAAAATTAGTTAATGCCAATCTCAAAACATAAATATTATGTTTCAGAAGGAAAATTTTTAAATATAAGAAGTCTTCACGGGAATGAGACAAAACTGCAGAGATTAAAAAACAAAATGACAAAAATAGCAGATGTAGTCAGAAGGTGTCATGTATGTAGGAGTTACATTGGTAAAAGAGAGGGACCGCAGCAGTCTGGGACTGGATCATCCACTACAAATTGACTGGCAAACACTACAGCTAATGGATAGCATCAGGCTAGCACTAGACTAGGCAACATCTGACTTTGCTGTTGTGGGTGGTCTTCATATGTTGCTAGCCTAATGTAAAAATATGCTGTGAAAATGCAAAACAACTCCTTCTGCCTGTCTGTGTGGGGACTCCTAGGCTGCAATAAATCTCTCAGTCTGGAAGAGGGATTCCTCTCCAAGAGCCAGGTTACTGCATCTTCCTACTGGGAGGAGACCAACGAATTTGGGCAACTATTCCAGTGGACCCCTGACAAGGCTTGGCTTCAAGTCCCAGGATTGGCTTGGGCCTCTAACCACAGCAGCAATCGTGAATGGTTGGAGATAGACCTGGGAGAGAAGAAGAGAATAACAGGTATGTCACTGTCTGGTTATTAGAAGCTGGGATTTCAGCAGGAGAAGAAACTGAACACAGTTGAACAGCTAATAATGGGCTAATGCGGCGTTTTTTCCATTAAATGTAATGAAGTGTTCTGCGTTGAGGAATATTATTTTCATACTTAAGAAATCATGGCTATTTATAAGACTGGTCTTCCTCTAGGGATATAGGATTGGGCTCAACTGTCATGCATGCCAGATCCGTAAACATGCTGTAGGCTCGGAACAAAATATTTACACAGAGACCAGTAGAGTCTGGATGAATGATAGATGATTGCTTAGGACCTATTAATGATGCAGTTCTGGAATCGATAAGAAACATTAAAGTTATAGCCTTCGAAATAATGGCCCAGGTGAAAGAGACTCCTGGTTTAGTTGTAGAAATGTAAATTACAGTTGCTACTAAAGATATAAAGACTGCTGAAATGGACCATAATATCAAAAAGCTATTACCATTTCTGGAGTCATTAATTTAAGCTCTGTTAAAAATTCCATTGCTCTAAATTCACAATTTAAAACTGATTTCCATTCTTCACCCAACTTTTAAATTCATGAATTAAGACTTTGAAGGCAAAGTTCTCTGAATTGTTTTGGCTTCTGTGTTTGCATTTGAAAATGTTCCTCTAAAAAGACACCTAACAAATGAAAACGTATTTTGCATTTTGTTGAAAGGGATTAAGACCACTGGTTCTGGATCCACTATGCTGAATTTCAACTTTTACGTAAAGACATTTACAATGAACTACAAAAATAACAACTCAAAATGGAGAACTTACAAAGGGATTCTGAGCAATGAAGAAAAGGTAAGGGAAAGTGGAAGGGGTAGGAAAGCACAGAGCAATAATGCATACGTTGCCTTGACATTGAAGGGCAGGCTTTCACTGTCAAGAAAGATTAGGAGTTCCAGACTTGTCTAGACATATGTTGTCTTCACCAGTGTAATTTACAGCCGTAGAGTAGGTAACGAGCTTGTCGAAACAGGGAAGCTATCTGGCCGGGGTTTGCTGAAGTTGGGACACACACACAGGGAGGCATGTGTATGTGTGTATCCTTCTTTTAAAGAAACTGTGTAGTTAAAGCTGTAGCACTGGCTGTTTGGGAAAGTCTTTAGCTCAGCTCGGTGCCTGCCCTTGCTAGGAGCACCATACCAGCGCAGAAGCATTGGTTGGTACGGCACCAGCACAGCTGAAAGTCAGCTTCAAGATGCACCAGGATGGTCAATCCCACCCCCACCCCCCCACCCCCCCCAACAAGCAATAAAAAAAAAAAAATTACTCTGGTAAAAGCACAGTGCTGCTGGTGGAGCTGCCCCTGCGGACCCAGCTTGTGTTGGGGCTGTGTTCAGGTCATCAGGTACTGCCCCGCTTCCCACCCCTGGCTGGCAGGAGTCTTCTGCCACGAGTCTCTGGGCACAGCCTGCACCTGTAACTGAATGTAAAATAAATGCCCTTACACCAAAACACCTGTCCACACCACAGCTTTCACAGACCCTGGGCGACTTGAACAACAAACAGATAAAAGCACCGCAACTAGTTCCTGCAGACAGAGGATGTGCTGCGCAGGTTTGTCTGATAACGTTTTCCCCTGAAAACCTCATGTCTCCTTTCAAACAAACAAACAAACAAACAAACAAAAAACCAACCCAAAAGCCTCACCCCCTGCCCCTGCGGCGTTCAAAGTCAGACGTTCACTCGTCATTGATGAGGGAGCTCAGCTTGCCTCAGGTCCTCAGGTCTACCTGGTCCTCAGTCCTGACAGCAGTTTTTAAAAACTTGTTAGAGGTGTAAAGAGATTTCCTACTAGCTCTGATTTTCTTAGCTTGTGCAGCAAGGTGTTTCACTGCACAATGTTAACTGGGTTCATATTTTTTATGTGTTAAACTGAGGAGGTGTTGGGCCCAAAAGTGACAAATCAACCTAGCAGTGGCTGAACTGGGAAGGCTAGCTATTTAAAACATCCAGGTTTGAAGTTTTCCAGAACGACTTGTTATATACAAATAATCTTATGAAATTATTATATATGATCTCAGTTTCAGATGAGGTGCATGACAAAACCTGTCTCTTCAGAACCTTATGTGGCCCGGCATTTTATCTAAGATATGCTGAGCTCACTTCCCTATCACGTCAGGTTTTTAAGTTTTCCTAGATCATACTGAAGCATCTCCAAGAACTAATTTTGCAAGGACTACTGTTCTGCACATGGGCTAGGCTGATTCTGGGAAATACTGTATAAACGCAGGGAAAAGGAGACACGACCGCATAGTTCATAGTCACTTTTCAGGCCTGATACAGAAAACTGACCATTTTACTAAAATATCTAGAAATATTTCACTTCAGTTTTCTCTTTTTACATTTTTATGCCCTGTTGCCCAAGTATGGGTGCTGCAGTGCTATTAAATCAAAAATTATAGCATTATACCAGCATACATTAACTAGAAATTATACAGAATTGAAACAGTGATAATCTTACTTCTCTGAGCTAACAGAAAAATGTGATCATCTGTCAGAACTAAAAAGATGATTTCTTTCCAGAACTCTCAATTCCAAAAATTATGTGGCTGCATCCCAGATTATCACTATATTAGTTTTAGGATAATGCAGATCTTTGAAGTTGGATGTATGGAGCACTTTGAAGAAAGAGACTTTTAAAACGGAGCGAACAACGTGCTTACTTTCCATTGCAGGTATTCCAAGGCAACTCCAACTCTGGTGATGTAGTACGCAATAACTTCATCCCTCCAATAGTGGCCCGTTACGTGCGAATTTTCCCTCAAACTTGGAACCAAAGAATAGCACTGAAGCTTGAGCTGATGGGTTGTCGGATAATGCAAGGTAAGGGGTAAGCAGTGCTCCCCAGGCACAGTGCCTCCAAAGCCCCCCGTGCTGCCACAGTGCCACTGATGCCCCCTTCTCTTTTGCAGCTAATAGTTCGTTTACGCATTCAATGTGGCAGAAACCAAGCCAGAGCACAGAAACCTCCCTTGGAAAAGAAGACAGGACTGTGACGGAGCCCATCCCGTCGGAAGAAACTAACTTGGGTAACACTACCAAGAGTTGCATTTTCTCTAGGGTGTATCACGTCTCCAGCCCAGCCTGAGTGAACTTTAAGCTTTCTCACAAAACAAAACTTTTATTTTCCCTTCAGACTTTATTAAAGGTTAATGACAGAGAGAAGAGGGAGTAGCATGGGTTCTTTTTGTCTTAATGCACAGAAGATGGAAAGCCTTAATTTTCCTTGATGTGTGAAACGTCAGGTTTTGGTTTCCCTCATCACTTCGTAGGTGGTTCAAGGGACTACACTGTGCACCCATCAGCATCTTTTTGAGGCGTCTTTCTCAGTCTCTTCCTATATTTTATAATTTTTGTAATATGTGAGGCAGTGATCTCACAAAAATGTTACCTTCTCTCTGTGCAGCCATGACTCCTCCCAGAGCAGGTCCCCAGTTCTAAGCAGCATACAGTAGTGCACGGTCATGTAATTAAACATTTTTCCATAATGCCTGTGTTCACGGGGGCTTAGACAATCTTGATTCTAGTACTTCTCCCTGAATTTGCAGTCTTCATCTTTTAATGTTGTGAAGCTAACTTCTTAGATCTTAAACAGCAAACAAACAAAATTTGTTGCTTATACTGATTATTTGGTGGACCCATAGCCAGGCAGGAATTAGCAGACCCACTATACCAAATGCTGCTACTCATTAGGTAGCTGATAGTTGGAGGAATGTGTAAAAAAAAAAAAAAAAAGGTTGTAAGAAGCAATCACTGTAAGAAAAAAAGCTCTTCTGAAACCACATTGTTCTTGCCAAGAGCAGGCTCGGTTCATCTGTGCAGCAGTATGGGTAAATTGTATCCATGTTCACTGAAAATGAAATCTACTGAGATTTCATCTGCTAAATTGTAAATACCCTGTGGACATGTGTACTACCTTATTCTTGTGGCCTGGTAAGCGTCTGGAGGAATAGCAAATGGCACACTCCTGACACAAGAGCCACCCCACTGCTAATTTTCAAATCCCTGCTCTAAACCGTGTTGTGTTAGAATCTAACAGGGGCTAAACAGGTTTTTCCCTAGCTCCACTCCTGGAAATCTTTGAACTATTTTGACTGAAATGTTTCAACCAGTTCAGCTTGAGCCAGATACTCGGCATGTAAAATTACAGCCTCATCTGGTACTTTTATAAGCAACTGAAAACAGAGTGTGTGTAAGCGGCTTTTAAAAAGTTAGCTAGTGTGTAATAAGAACTGCTCTTTGTAAGGATGCATATAGATGTTAAGTCAAGCGTCAGCCTTGAGAAAGTGTATTTAACTCTTTCATCTCAACACTGTTCCACACAGGTACCTGGCAACCAAGTATATTTGAGGAGTGGTCTTGCAGTTTTCTAGTTTTACATCTTCCTGCTGGCTTGCAAGGAGCATTTCTGCAAGATTATCTGCCTTTTGCTGTAGCCTCTGTAGTAAAAATTACCAGCTTCAGAGTAATTTGCCTTTTAAACTTTTATCCTTTTATTTTTTTTTTTTTTCCTTTTCTTCCTCATGCAGGCTTAAAGCTTACAGCTATAATTGTCCCCATCCTCATCGTGCTGTGTCTGTTCCTGTTCTCTGGAATTTGTATCTGTGCAGCCCTACGCAAGTAAGACACTGGCTTTTGTCATAGGAGACCTTTGTGGCTACCTAGTTAGCATGTCCAACTACATGCCCTCTTCCCAGAGCGTCTTCACCAGGGAGCTGGAAATTGATCCTGTGTGGCAGTCTTCCTTTTAAGTAGATCTCATGTCGTGTCTCTCTACATTGTATTTCTTATTGTACATCTCCCCTAGTCGGACAAAAATGAAGGTAAAGCAGGTCAGAACTGCACACCCCAACTTACAGTCCAATTTAACCGGCTGTTCTCTTCAGCCTAACTATACCCACAAATACTAAGGCATGAAGCAATTGAAGACAGAATAGCTTCCACACCAAAGCCAAGTAAAAACCCTGGTAAAGTGAGGATTTAAGCTATCTATTTGGATCATTTTCTATCATTTCCCTCCTGTTGTGCTTCTGCTTCCCAGACTCTTAAGTTAGAGCACTTAACCTAGTGGGCTGAAAGCAGAGCCCAGCTTTAAGGAGTTGCATACATACACTGGTAAGCAGCTAAAGCTAAGTCACTTCACAAGTCAGAGAACTGGAAGAAACACTGATAACCGTGATTCCTCCTAGGTGTCCATTCACTCTGCACTTGCATGCAGAGTTGGGAAATGCTTCTGTCAGCAGATGGGGATTTGGAAGTATAAGCAATGCTCTGTCGATGTTGCTTCATCACTCGGGGTAGCCAGCTCTGCCCTGGATTCCCAGTAAATGTATAAACTAGCCAAAGAATTCAGAAGAGCAGACCCAAAACGTAACCTGGAGTGACACATATAGACATGGACGCATCAAGTCGATGAGCGCCAGGCACAAGAAATTCGAATGCTGGCACTCACAACTTGCATGTAGATGGGGAAAAATGGAATGTCAAAACGCTGGTTTGCATGCCTGACGTTCTAGTAAAGACCAGCCTCCAGGAACTCAAAGTGAAACATCGTCCTCAGCTGCTAAACACAAAAGCTCTCTCTGCTGGAGCTTAGGCATGAAACTGAAATGCTGCGAGTGCAGATGTTTATCAATGCTTTCCTCTCCTTGCAGGCGAGAAGCCAAAGGACTTTCTTATGGATTATCCAGTGCTCAGAAATCAGGTTAGTGGAGAATAATGCACTTTGTCCTGTCCTGCCTATTGGGCCAATGGGAATGCAATGAAGTAAGAAATGCTTATGAAATAGCATCCCCGTTTCGTTTCCTCATGCAAATTCACATCTTCATACAAGGGGAACGGCAAACTACAGTCCCACTTGTGTCATCCTAGCACAGTGCCCTGAGAAACAATATAATTTAGTTTCTATGACAGAAAGGCAATTAGCAAAAGATCTATTATACAGAGTGCATAAATTAGCACATAAGACTGCTCCCAGGTGTCCTCCCTTTCCTTTCCTCCTCCAAAATACCTATTTTGCAGAAAATTGCTGCTTTCCTTTTCTCTTCCCCACAGCAGAAGGGATTGCCTTTCTTCAAAAGAGCAAGGGCTAATAATTTTTTATGGCTTTAATATTTCCTTCTCACTGCCTTCCCTGGTTGGGGCTGTATTTATAAAGTCTAACAATACTGAAATGGACTTCACGTGCAAAATCTGAACAGGGGATTGGCTTGAGGACTCTGCTTTAGGAGATGCCTGCAAAACCCTGCAGTATATTCTTTGTCTTGCTCAATAATGTTTTCTGGCGTGTGCTCTCCCATCAGCTTGGAAGTTGGGGTTTAGCTGTCTTTCCTGACCAGCCAACTCTATAGAGGAATATCCTTGTGAATCTCAGTTTTCCACAAAAAAAGAAACCGCTAAGCAATTCACATGTCTCTTGACAAGTGCTTTGCAGTAGCTCAGCTCCGCAATTTCATCCCTCAGCAGGTGCTGACGTCAGTGAAAGGAATGCTGTTACCCACTGCAGCTCACCCTCATTAGAAAATTAATTTGTACTTAACACCATATTTGTTAATATGATTTTTTGAGGTCACATCATAATCCTTTCTCACTTGCTAATGAGGACAAATCCCAAGAAACGGGAGACAGTGTCTTACCCAGTCAGTTCATTTGTTGTGCCTGTGCTTCATAAATCAAGCTTCTAAGCCCTTGTGAGCCAGGTTTGGGACTCAGAAAGCTGGGAGCCGAACCCAACTCTCCACAGACCTCCTGTCGCAGGCTCCAGGCAAGTGCCTGACACTCTGGATTTTTTTCTTTTCTGTCTCACGAGGATGTTGTGAGAACAAATTAATTGATGAGTGCAGGTGCTCAGATATCAAGGAAAGGGAAGCTATACTAGTCTACTGAAAAAAAAAAAAAAAAAAAAAAGAAATTTTAAGCATCCTTTTTGCCACAAAAGCAATGGAAAAACATGTAACTAATTTAAAGTTGGTATTTTACTGATACACTCTGTTAAGGCATCAGTGCCGGCACGTACAGAGTTTGAGCCCTTCTTGCCAAGAATATCCTCTATAACGTTTCGTTTTCACTTGGAAATCCCAGTTGATGATTCACTTTTTCCCTTTCACCTCCAAATTTAGGGGGCTTTTTTTACAAACAGCCCATTTTAGTCTTGCTTTTTAACTGCCTTAATATATTGACAGCAATGAGTACACCAAAAATTAAACTCTCTGACAAGTCTTCTGATTATAAGCATTTAACTTGCTGATAAGCCTTCTATTTTTATTTCTTTATTATAGGTTGTTGGAAACAAATCAAGCAGCCCTTCACCAGACATCAGTCAACTGAATTTACCATCAGCTATAATAATGAGAAGGAAACACCACAAAAACTAGATCTGGTCACCAGTGACATGGCAGGTAACAACTGCTCCCCCTGCGATGCATTCATTTTTCTCTGGGTGCAGAACAAGTAACAGGGAGAGGGATGGGCCAGCTCTTATGTAAGCTGAGGCCCAGGAACAAATTTATCTGTGTTCATCCCAGACATACAGCGAAACAGCTAGATATATTAGGGGGAAAAGACCACTATTTTGGAAATTTTTTCTTGCAGTTGTTGGAAAGATTTCCCAGCTCTGAAACAGTTACGGCTTAAGATAACCAAGGCATTCAGGCATGGATACAGTGCAAAAACATGTCTAGAATAGGATAGTTTGCTGAATAATTTTTTGTGCTCTGATTTAAACACAAATATCTCTGGAAACAGAACGAAATATAATGTCCTTTGCTGCTGGGCAAATAGAAAAATTACTTAGTTGGTTTGTGGTGGGATTTCATGTCCAGGTGGAAGTTGTGCTGAGATCCCTGGGCAGCTTTCCTGGTGCCTGAACTACTTTGGAGATGAGAGAGAAGATAAAAATCAACCACTGTGCTTCTCTCCTGCGCTACTTTGCAGGTCACTGTTTAGATAGAGCCAATCCCCGCAGCAGTGCTATCTGCATCCCAAAGGGATGGCTTTTTAAATCATCCTCTTAACACATCTTATCCGTGCCTAGTTTAGTCTGTCTAGAAGGTCTAGTGAGACCAGCCATTCCGTGGGGTCAGTGAGCAGCAATCTTCCAGGAAGATTAATTTGCTGTTTCCAGCCTCCAAACCTTAGAAATTCCTTAGAATTTCTCCAATGCATTTGGCAGAGAAATACATTTAAAAAACAAATGGATGGTTACTGTAATTCCATATGGTGCTACCCTGGATATCTTTCAAAGATGGTTTAAATCCTTTACAGAAACTTTCAATATAAATATGCAGAGACCTATAAAGCAGTTTTATTTCATGAAGGAAAGGGAATGAATAAAGATTGCTCACAAATCACGGTTATCTGGTTCCCCTGGCTGTGTCTGGGGACCCTCTGCTCTCTCCATCCTCCCCTCCTGCCATGTTTGTGGGAAGTCTTAACTCTCTGCCTGGCCAAGCATGTCCCCACCCTAGCATTTCACCTACGGTCTCCTGAAAAAAATAAGAAACACGAAATAAAAACGCGAACGCAGCCCAGAAATGGGCCATTTAGTAATGTGATTGCAGACAGCATGCAACTTGCAGACAGGTTAACGTGGTCCGTGATGTTCCCTCCCTTCGAATCCCCGGCTGCCTGCTGGTTCCCAAAGGCAGCCGGGCACAAGTCAAGATGCTTCACCCTGAGCGAGGGAGATTGCTGGGGATGGCGGCAGCGACGCCGGGGAGAGCTGCAGCACTTACTTAGTGAAATATCATAACACCTTCACCCTACATGCTGAAGTTTGAGACGTAGCCAGGAACTGCCAAAAAGATTCACAGGACATATGGGATCGAATTCGACACTCATGTCAGATGAACCACGATGCCAGAAGAGAAACTGAGCTAACTTCTTCACGCCTGCGTCAAAACATGATACTTTAGCAGTGTCATTTACTAGAGCTGTTCAGGCCACCGTATGTATCTGTAAGAGATTGTCGCTAGCACCAAAGCGAGAAAGTTAGAACGCTGAATTTTCTCATCATAGTTTTACTGGATCTTTTGAAAACCCTTTCAGTCCGGAGCTCCTTCTTGCACGGCAGCCTCGCATCTGCCTCGACTAGAGGTGCAAACACATGCTTCTCGAGGCCACATTTCCTCCACCTCGCTCCTTGCTCCCCCTTGGGCCCTTTGCCCGTCCCCAGCTCCATCCGTGCCACCCCCTTGACTGGGGTGACTGCCCAGTTCCTCCAGCAGCGCCGGTCCCACTCCTCCTCCCCCGGCTCGTCCCCCCTCGCGCGCCCGCAGCAGTGCTGAGCTGGCTTAGTGCATTTCACACTTCCCTTGACTCTCTTGGCTGCTGTTCCGCCTAACTTCATCCTTCTTGTCAGTCAGCTACTGCGAGATGCCTTTTAAATAAAGTCGGCACTTGGTCGGGCTTGTTAAGAATCCTCCGGGCATTTTAATTATTCCGAAAGTGGAACGCTTGTTTTTGAGAACTTCTTGTTTGTGGATCTTCGTGAAGTGTCCTTTGTCCAGTTTGTTGCTAATATTTTGTTGATTTCTCTCTTTTTTTTTTTAGCACTTTTGAGCACACTCCAGAAATTATGTTAATTTATTTGGGTGGGTAGGTGGGGAGAGAGAGGGAGGGAGGGAGTAGGAAAGGAGGTGGCAGAACGGAGCTCCTCCTTGGGAGAGCTTCTCCCATGTTCTGCAACATGTGCTTGCTAAAGGAGGTTACAGGACCAGTGTTGGGGAAAGGTTTCCTCACATCCCTAATTACCACGCGTTTGATACAATAACCGAGTCGTTTTTCAACATAAAATACCTATCTATGCATAAGTATTATATACATAAAATAACCAGTCTATGCCTTATTGAGCAGTTCTTGCTTCCTTTCAGATTATCAGCAGCCTCTCATGATCGGGACGGGGACAGTAACGCGGAAAGGATCTACTTTTCGACCCATGGACACCAAAGACGAGGGAAGAAGGGGGAGTTCAGAGTTTGAAAATCACTATCACTGCCCACACAGAGCTAACCGGCACGAGTACGCTCTGCCCCTGACCAGCCAAGAGCCCGAATACGCCACCCCCATCATAGAGCGGCACATAGCAAGAGAAAATAATTTCCCCTCTGAAAACGGCTACAACGTACCTGTCGTCTCGTCTCAGAAGCAATCCCTTTGTGCCAGCAGCTTCTCCAGTTCATGTAAGACCGATACCAGGAACGGAGACTATCAGACACCCCAGAGTGTCATAAACTACGACAAACCCAAAGTTAACGGTGTTCTGACCTCCGTGAGCTACAGCACAGACTACCAGAAACCTCAGCCCAACGCCCTCGGGAGCGAGGGTTACTCCACGCCCAGAGACTGCCTAAAACCAATAAGCCAGACAGCGATGACGGCTCTCTTGTGATCTGCCGAGCAGGAGGGACGCGGTGCGCAGGAACGTGGCTGCACAGCTTTCTGAAGTGAAAACAGAGTTTGGAGGGACTCTGCTGCGGGAGGCAGAAGGCAAACAAGCCCTGTGTACATAATATTGCAGTCTTGCTGGGTTCTGACATCTGAAGAAAGCATATGCTGTTTATCACTGTTTATAGCAAGAGAGATGTTATCAGTGAAGACTGTACATCTTATTTTCTGTAACTGATCTCAGTGCTCCATTTGCAATGTGTGCAATTTGTACATAGCTTTTATTTAAGGAGAATTTCTTAAGTTTCCTTTTCACCTGGGGGATCGGAAGGATTGCAGAAAAGCCTATTTAAGAAAAAACAGGCCTCCTTCTCTGTCTTTATTTTACCTGTTTTTTGTACTGGCAGCTGTAAATGGTGTATCTTGTGGTTGTGGTGGTTCATCTCCTTTCCTATGATAACTGAAGATAGGGCATCACTGTAGTTCTTTCTGGGAGGATAGAAGTAAACTACTTGAAGCATAACATGCACAAGAGAAGGCAGCTGAGCATTTAACTACTGTGCTCAAACCCAACTTCCCGGCTGCTCCTTTAGCCGCAATTCTTACGTGCTCAAATTTGATCTAGCATATGAGCTGAGCCTGCTTAACTTGCTAGTCATGTTAGAAACAGGTAGAAAGGCTGAAACCACTTTTGAGTTCAAGCCATGGTGATCACTCTGCAGTAGAAAAAAGACAACAAACAAACCCAACACCTGTCAATCTGGGTTGGGGTTTTTTGTTTGTTTGTTTGTTTTTTGTTTTTGGGGTTTTTTTTTGTAAGGAAGGGTGTGTGGAACCAAAATATGATTTTACACCTGCAAATTAAGTCCTATTCAAGCCCTAGCTGATGCTTTTGCTGCTAAACTATAAGGAAATTTGTTCCTTGCCATAAAGCAGCTAACTTCCTGAACTCTTCATTGCTCCACTAGGTATTTTTCTGTCTCACAAACTGAGTGTAGCATTTCTATTTGAAATATTTCAACTAAGTAAAACAGTGTGTGTATGGCTTACGGTCGCAGCTAAATTTGCAAGACAGCAGATCAGCACAGTTGTTTTCAAATAGTTTTTCTTCTGCAGCTAATGTTACCCTTAATTCTGGTTTTGGACAAACTTGAAAAAGCATGGGGATGGGTGCAATGTATCGCACAGTAGCTGACTCCTCTTCCAGCAGAGGCGTCACTGAAGTGAAACAGCTTCTGGTAGCGACTGGGACCGACCGCTGCCCTTCTACCTGCAGCGCTTGGACCGGCACTTCGAAAGCTGGTCCTAAAATGTCAAGCAGTGATATACTTCTGGGAGGGAAGAACGGTGCTATATTTAAAGCACAGGGCTGGGAAACGAGACCAGTAAAACCTGAGCTCTGGGAAAGTCGCTACCTGAAGGCCCTCCACTTCCCTGCACGTAAACTGGGGATAATTTGCACAGGATGCAAGAAAGATTTGTGGTCTGTTCGCAGAGTGCTTTCAGATCCTTGGGTGGAAAGTGCTGTCGGAGTACGGACTAGCCGCAGTGATACCACGCACAGATAGTCCTAACTCCAGCCGCATCCGACCTTAAGGCAAGCTCTCGGTGGGTTCTTTGCGTACACTTGTTTTTGTGGCCTCAAGTGGTGCCATTCCCTCACCCTGCCGCACCCTGCATGCCATTCCGGTGCAAAGAAAGAGTCGAGGTAACCTTGTAGCCTTCCTGTGGTTGCTGTCATTACTGTTTCTGTGAAATGTCTAAAACACCTCAGGTCCTGAAGTGAAACAGCAGCAGCCTGTTTGTTAGACCGAGCTGGGTGGTGTTGTTTACCTTCTGTTGTTTACATGTCTGTGTAAATAAAGAACACTGGTATTTGTAAATCAGTCACACAGGCCTGCTACTTAACTCGGTGACTCGATCATCACTGCACGCCCACTCTCGCCACATATCCCGCAGGGTGAGAAGGAAACGTTCCTTACGCCCTGCAAAAGTGCCAGTTGCGCTGCTGCAATTCACGGTCCTGTGACAGGCTAAAAAAAAAAAAATGTCTCTCCGTGCCCCATTTAGCCCAGCTTTTCTTTCTGTCCATCAGGTCGACAGAAGCAGCGCCCACGAACAAATGTCTGCGCCCAGCCCCGCTGCTGGGTGCATGTAATTGAGGAAAGGATGAGGATGCCCTCCCCGAGAGCCTGAAACCAATACTCCACCCACACAGCTAATTACCCTGAGGTCACTTTACAGATCAGCAGTGCTCAGTAAGCAGGGCTACTCCCCACCTCACCAGGCACCTAGATAATACAGCAGCGCGACAGGACCAGGCCGCGGATGACACTGGTTGTATTAAAATAAACTTTTTGCATGCCTCCACCACATGCTTGGCGCATCTGTAGCACAAGTGTCAAAAGGTTCTTGGTAGCGCGGGCCCGTTTCTGCAGCCGTTAAAACCCGTCTTGCCACAGCTGGTTTAGTCTCATGAAAAGTTGGGTCTCAGTTTGCACCTTGCCTTCATCCCTATCCTCCTCAAAAAAAAAAAAAAAAACAACAAACAAACAAACAAAAAAACCCACTCAAAACTGCAAAAAGATGGCTTAAAATAAATCCCCAAACATCTCCATCCTCCCTGTGTCACAGTGGCTTGGTGCTGGCGGGGACGGAGGCAGTGCAGCAGCTCTGAAGGTGCTCACAGCTCCCGGGCACTGCCACGGTGCTTCATGGGTCACGTCTGAGGGACCGCTGAGGGCAGTTAATGTAAAAAAGCCCTGGCCTTCTCCACCTCGGCCTGGGAAATAATAGGAAGTTTTTAGTGACCTGACCCTAGCAGCAGATACACGGGGGAACTTCCTACCTGCATAGTCTCTCTATCCTGATGGTGGTGGAGATGCTAAATCCTGGTGTAGGATGGAAAGGGGACTGCCTGAATCTTCCCCGTGGTAGTGGCTCATCCTCACGCTCCTCCTCTGAATGACTTCTCTCATACGGGTACATCAAACTCCAGTTTGTCTCCATCGGCCTGTTCTCACCATCAAAACCAGTTACAGGTATAACACAGGCACCCTTACCAAGCATCACACGTTTTCAAAACCCTCCTTTCCCAGTGAAGGTTAGAGGACGCACCATTTTGAGACATTTACACACTCGGAAGGGCTGCGTCAGCTCTGGGTCTCTCCCAACGTCTCTAGAGATTGTGTGAGAGCGGAGTCCGAGCTTCTGGTCAACGGGTGGCTTTCAATAGCCTTTCCCAACCAAAGCTTCTTTCCTGAGCAGGCACTCCCAGTAGGCTGGAACGGCAAAACCTAGCCAGAGTTCACAAGAAGGTTAAATATTAACTGATCATAGCACTAAGGGCCTGGCTGTTCCAGCAGCAGTTGACAGCAAGCCTCTGGCTCTGCCAGGAGCAGGGTCACACGCTGTAACTGCACGTGTCTCTGGCCGAGGGAATTGAAGAAGGCGGCTCTTGAGGTAAGAAAGTATAAAAGTTGATGTACACTACCTACAACCGAAACCCAAAAATGACAGCTTTGCATGCATTCCCAGCTTGTGCCTTGTATTTAAAAAACAAACAACCCCCACACAAAAGCAACTAGAACAAGTTTTCAAACACCACAGCAAAAATACAAACGTTCTTTGCTCTCACCTCCTTAGACCGGAAAATAGATTGCAAATTCTTATTTCTTCTGTCAAGCACCTTTCCAACACTCAATACAAAAGCTTTTTGCTTTCCTATCAAGTGTAATTCTTAATAGTATTTCTCTGTTTCTTTCAGTTTACAGAGTTTTAACAACAGATATTAAAACCTCCCTTAGAACCTGCCAGGTTCTTCACATCCAACAGGCAATAGATTAAAATTAGTCCCCGACTCGCAGACTGAAACCAGGATTTCCCCAGTTCAGTGGATGTCCTACTCACTTACCACCTGTTCTCTTTTACTGTCTTTCTCTGGATCAAGCAGTTGGCCTCACCTCCCCCCCCAGACCCCATCCGCAGGGTGGGTTCAGCAGGCTCAGTAGCCCACTGGCTACAGCAGCCTCTGCAGGGGTGGGGGCCAACCCGCATTCCTTGCATCTGATGAGTATTGTAAGCACTGACCTAACATGGCAGGAGTCACAGCAGTGCCTCTAGCACCCGTGAGTTCTAAAATGAGGGATCCCTGTTTCTTTCTTTAAAAAAAAAAAAAAAAAAAGACTCATGAGGTTTGGATTCCAGCCACTGGGAGCAGGTTGTGAATCCCGTGGCTTGCCTGCATTACTGGAGTGGCTAAACCCCAGGAAGGCTGAGATTTTAATGCAGACTTTCTTTAGATTTTTTTCCTACTGACTGCCATTTGGCAGTTCTCCACCCCGTGGGCAGATTTTAGTGGAGGCACAAAATATTCCCAACACAGGATGAGAATGTCAGGCTGTAGGCCCTGTTACAGGAGCAGACACCTAACCGTGCTGAACTGTTTGGTGGATCGCTATCCTTAAAACATATATGATTTGTTTTTCCATGGTGTTGGAGACTGCTATCCCATATGGCAAGGATTGCTGCACACTCCCCAGCACCGCTCCATCATTGCCAGACTCTCTGGACACATTACCAAAAGCCGAGCTGCTCCAGGACTACATCTCCATTGCACTGGAGGAAAATGGCCTTGTGGCCGTGCAGAAGACTGCAGAAGTCACCGGAGGCCTTTCAGGGCTCAGGTGATCTAACCTGCATCTGCAACACAGAGCAAACCAGGTGATGAGTATCAGCAAGTCTGTGCCTCTGACCTACACCCACTGTTGCATGGGAGAAGTGCTTAAGGAAATCCCCACGTCAGCTCTGTTGTGACAGCCCCGGTAAGCCCCAATTTTGTACCCGTATAGTGCTGGTGGCAATCTTCTCAGAAGAGGACTCACTCACTCACTCGCTATTTCCGAGGGATCTGAAAACCACTACTGCCATAACAAATTACACTGTTTACACTAACAACCTGTGACCTTAAAGCAGTTGTGCTGCATGTCAGCAACTACCACTGAGGTAGTTAATAAAAACTAAACGAAGGGCAATTATTTGTCTGTGTCCTGCCTTTTGCCAAAGGGAAGGCAAGCTGGTAATCTTCTCCAGGGCGTTCCAATTCAGTTCAGGAAGGCAAGGAACAAAAAGCGTAAAAATGAACAGACTTTTGTCACATCTAAGAAGGGAGGCAGGGGTCTCACAGCAGTCCTGAGCAGTCAGGCACCCACGTGGAAACCCATCAGTATTCTTTTGTTAACCCTCTCCCCAAACCCAGGCTAGGTCTGCTCAGTGAGTGGGTATCTTAAGGACTCCCCTAGCCTGTCATTCGTTCAGACCCAAGGAATGACAAGGTTATGTTGTTGCATTCCTTTTTTCCTTACGATTTTCCATAATAAAAGTTCTATACTTCCCTTTTCTTTCCAATGTCAGGTATGATGTAAACTTGTACTGACCTCCAACCTCCTCTGCAAAACTACAGCATGGGGTAAGTGAAAGCAGAATTTATCGCTTCGTTTGAAACTCAGTGTTGTTGATGTCTATACTGATTATTACCCTGCCATAGCTGTGTGGGGTTAACAAGACTAACAACATTATGAAGAAGCAGCAGCAATGCCTATGAATTATTGAAGATGGAACGAGTTTCAAGGAACATGTTTATTTAAAGGGAAGGTACGATTGCTGCACAATCACTTTCAAACTTCAAAAATCTCTCCTGAGGGCTTCTTTCTTTTTGAAGCCTCCCAGCACAGTCCTACCATCCATAAAGGACACGTGAGAAGGGGTCAGAAAGTATTTCTAAACTAGATAAAGTCAAGAGGGAAGATATCCTTAGTTGGGAAAAACTCATGTTATCCATGATAAGAAGGACGCCTAGCATCTGTCTTTCTCTGCTATCTCATTGTATAGTCTGGACATGAGAATTTAGAGACTTTTTCAATCAAACTTCAGAATATTTGTTTAGGCTTGGCCTCACATTGTATGTCTGTAAATCCTGAAAAATATTTGCCATCTACAGTATGCAGAGGTTTTTCAGTAACCTCTTATCCTGGACTGAGTTAATTAATTATTTATTCAGACACTCGCAACACAGCTACTGAGCTGCCATGTGACATCTAAGAGATTATCATCCCATTTATTTTTAGACAGTCACAGGTATTAAAAAGAGAAATCGAGGAAGGAGACAATTAAGTTAAAGCACATCATTTTTCAGCATAGCAAAAAATATAAGCCAGCATATATGACATAGTACTGTTACCAAGGCTTTTGTGTCCTGATAAACCAACCTGAACTGACCTCAGGAATCCATAATTTCAACCAGACACAAAATTTTTAACAGACCTTACTGGAAAAACTCCCTTAATGATCTGCATTATCTGCTGGCCTGAAGAGGAACAGTATCCCTGAATACCCAGCATTTCCTCCTATGAGTCTGAGCTACTAAAAGGAGGAAGAAAACTTACACTATAACAAACTATTCAAAACCTGTGACATCCTCTCAGCCAGATCAGATGACAGCAGACAATAGTAGATTTTAAACATACAAGTATGTTGCGTACTAGAAGGTAGGAAAAAAGTAATGCCAAAATTCTAGGCTCAAAAGAAACACCAAGAACAATTTAATACAAACAATACAGAAACATCCAGCAACAGCTGAAGCCTGACCCAGGACAGAGAGCTTTTCAGAAGTCCTCCTCCGTGAGAAGTCGCAGATAGCAGAGAAGATGGTGGTGCTTACCATAAAAGAAGGGGAGAAAAGACTGCAGACAGGCAGTAAGTTACATTAGCCACCACCCAGCCTCCGTTCTGAACAATTTAACGCCTTGAGCATGTACTAGAAACGTCTGCCTTTACAAATGGTTTTTACACATCTTAATTCCCGTGGCCCGGGCAGCCATTTCACAGA